ATCGGTTAATATAGCCTATATTTCACTAACCAGTGTATTAGGTGCTTCGATAATAGTTAGTTGTGGTACATGTCTACGATTATTAGTGGCATTAATGAAATCACCTAAATCAAAAATAATAAAGCTTGCAGATCGTTCATCACGTCTTAATGAAAGTGCACTTTATCGACTTAAAAAAGAAGTAAATCATTTTTAATGATTTTTTTTTTGTAAGAGCTAAATGTTTTTGTTTTCAGGTTAGCCAATTATCGTATATCATCAAATCTGTTGAAGCTTTTCTTAATATTAATACTCGTCTCGTTGTTCTTATTGATGGTCTAGATGTATGCGAACAACAACATATTCTTCAAATACTCGATGTAAATTAAATAATCTAACAAGATTCGACATTGTTTTTTTTTTTTTTTTATTTGTTTACTTTGTGTTTTTAGCAAGTACATGTACTTTTAACAAAAGAAAATGATCCATTTATAACATTAATTGTTTGTGATCCACATAAAATGATGCAAGATTTGTCGACAACAATAGCTGTATCGTCAACAACCAGTCAAAATCAAGGTTTTGATACTAGTGTTAATGGTCATGATTATTTACGCTCGCTTATTGAACTTCCTATCTATTTACAATTAAATATGAGTAAAACAAGACAATTGAAAAAAAATGCTGATGTCTTTCCAAAAAAGAGAGCAAATGTTATTTTAATATTCTTTGTTTTTTTTATTGAATATTAGACTTAAGAGAATTTTGTTTTTTAGACTCTTACAAATGGTGCATCCGTTCTTGATGTAAGCGCAAAACCAGTAACAACTAATAAAGTTCCAAAGAATAAACGACGTCGACAACGACGAGATACATTATCTAATACTAAACCAGTCTGATTAAAATATTTATTGTTTTTTTTTTTTTTTTTTTCATCTTATTTCTTTTTTCTTGGATATTAGGTAACAACATCAGAATTAACTAATCAATTACTACAATCGGATTATTTTCTTGATATTAATCCACGAATTCTTCAACGTCTTATTAATATAATTGCTATGACAGGTCGATTACTTCGTGCTAATCAAGTTATATTTAATTGGAGACGTCTTGGATGTTGGTCATATTTAGTAGAACAATGGCCATATCGTATATCATGGATTGTTGTCTATTATGAAGATCATGAACAAGAATATTCAGATGATACTGCATTGAACACTCTATATGATAAGTATGTATTGATAATAATGATAGATAATTTTATTTGAATAAATATTTATTTTTAGAATTAAACCATTTCTTCCAACATCAAATGATCCTCTTTTAGAACTTGATCGTAATGGACGTAAATTTGAACTTTGTGTAGAACGTGGTGAACCTGTTTTAAATGTTAATGATTTAAAACAATTTCTTCTATGTACATGTAATCTTGATCCATATTTGAATAAACTCATTCGAGGTGAATGGTTTTCTTATTATTTACATAATATATATATATATATTACAAAGATTTTGTTTTTGTCGTTTTCTAAATAGACTCGCCAGCTTATTTTTATATGAATAATTCAGATGAAAATGGTTTCATTAATGGAGATCCATCGAGATTTTTTGCTCGTCGTGATTCCACGTACGTAAAAATGAAAAAAAAAAAACAAGAAATCTTCAACAGTAGATAAACATATAATTGTTTTATATTCAAAGAGTTTTATTATT